TTTTTTTAAATTCCAATCTATGTTTTTCAAAATGTTTTTCGGTCTGTCTTCTTGTATTATATTGATGACCTATTGGTTGTACATAAGTTTTTGTTATAAAAAATAAGATACATTCAAAAATATACAGACCATACACAGTTAAAATTTTAAGATTTTTGAAGTGTTCTCTTGCGGAGTCATCATCTTCAAGTTTGAGCATACATCTAATTGCTTTTTTTCTGTAGGTTTAGAATTGTATTCAGATTATTTATTGTTGTTGCACCATACAAGCCAATTCCATAAGAAATATTAGAGTGAATCAGAGAAAAATATATTTGTTTTAGTACAGGCAATGAGCATAGGCTGGCCATACGCCTTAAGGCGAATAAACCGGAGTTAATTTTTCTTGATATATGTTCGACATGTTTGTCCCAGCATAGGTTTTCATCAATATATAGACCTAAAAATTTAGCCTCATTCACTTGTTCAATAATTTCATCTTCAATCATTATATTTGGAGATATTTTTTTACGATTTTGCTTTGTGGAAAATGTAATAAATTTAGTTTTATTTGGATTTAACAAAAGACTATTATTATTGAAGTATTGCTTTATATTAGCTAGTTCTATAAAACTTAAATATTCAATTTCATTTTGGTTCTTTGCTGAGATTTTTAAATTTGCGTCGTCTGCATATAAACATAAATTACTATGGGGAACAGTCTGTAGCACTTCAGGAAGTCCGGTTATGTAACATAAGAACAGCAAAGGACCCAGAATCGATCCCTGTGGGACGCCACATGAGACCAAACATAAGTCCGATGCTGCGCCCGTGATCCTATTTGAAATGGTTTGGTTAATTTCAACCAGGGTGTCCACATTCTGGAAAGTCAGGGAAATAGGCAAGAAGTCATGGAAAGTCATGGTAATTTCCAATTATGGATGGATTTGAGGGGACCATTCAATGCTCTAGTCAGCTGTAACCCGGACTGTTGTAGCATTTTTCAGGATTTTTCAAAAATGTTCGACAATTCAATTTATTACAGTTGTATTATTTTATGAGTTATCGGTTTGTTTTAGTTTATTGTTGTACCTATTTTACTCCATTGTTATCTGTTATTACATATTTCAGTATTTTCTGCAAAATAACATGTCCAGGCAGTATTATTTGTGTGTGTATGTTATATTATAATTTGCGTGTAAAGTTCGTGAGTCATGGAAATCAATGGTAAATGGTCATGGATAGTCATGGAAAGTCATGGAAATTAATGACAAATTTTTTGTGGACACCCTGTTTCAACATACTGATATCGGTCGGAAAGGTATGACTTAAACCAATTGTATGCAACTCCCTTGACACCAAAGTTCAATAATTTATCAAGTAATAGATGATGATTTACGCTTTCAAAAGCTTTTGTTAAATCCATAAATATGCCCACTACGTTCTCCCCTTTATCTATGGACTCTATGATGGATTCAATAAAAGAAACGGCTGCAGTGAAAACCGATTTTCCGGGCCGAAAACCGTGCTGGGACATATCTAGAATGTTTGAATTTTCTAAGAATTGGGATAATCTTCTGTACACAACTTTTTCATAAATTTTTTAAAAGGATGGCAGAATCGAAATTGGACGATAATTGGACATGTCTTTTGTAGAATCTTTTTTATGTATAGGTACAACTTTGGATATTTTTAATTTTTTTGGAAAAATGCCAGATATTAAAGAAGAGTTAACCAGATGAACTAAGATTTTACATAGGTGTATTTTTGCAGATTTTATTATAGTTACAGGAATTTCATCAAACCCATATGATTGCTTATTTTTTAAAGAATCTAATATTTTAATAATTTCGTTTTCATCTGTGGGCTCACAGTGAAAAGTCTGATTATGAGGAGAGAAACTACTTGAAAGACTATTTTTCTGTACACTAGGTTCTATATCTGGTTTTGTTTGAAGATCTTTTATACAGTTTATAAAATAATTGTTTAACAAATTACTTATAACTAAAACATCAGATACATTCTTATTATCTACAGTCAATTCTAGATTTTGTTTGTTTTTGGGCAGAACTCCAACCTCAGTATTTACTATTTTCCAAGTTGTTTTAATGACATTTTCTGATTCATTTATCTGCTTATTATAAAAATTGGTTTTTGAATCTTTTAACATTTTCCTATATAACTTATTTTTCTCTTTAACACATTTCTTCAATTCTTTATTTTTTGTTACTCTAGCTTCTTTTTCTAAGTCAATAATATTGTTTCTTTGCTGTTTTATTTCTTCTGTGACCCAGGATTTTTGTTTATAATTTATCCTTTTAACTTTTTTAGGAAAAGCTAAGTTAAAATGATACATAAAAATATTGAGAAACTTATCATATTTGTCCTCCACTTATGAAAAATAAACTTCATTCCAGTTTTCACTTTTAAGTGATTCAAGAAATAGGTTTACATTATCTTTTGAAAAGCTACCCTTCGTCCTTAAAGACGCTGCCAGTGCAGCGGGTGGACACTACCGATCTAATATAAATTTTAATCTAGGTCCAATTTGGGACCTCATAGGCTGTAGCTCAGTATTGTTTTTAACATTACATCAGGCAGACCTAAGGGCTGTGGCATCAACACCGAGATAAAATCCATGGGGGATTTGGCAGAATTTTAACCCAGGACCTCAGCTCGCTCCCTATTTTGTGGGCTCTATTTTAAGCGGTGCATAAAAAAATACTTCTTTTGGGGAGGACAGAAAAAAGGATCATGTATACATCAAACATAGGTCTGCAACAAAAATTGACCAAGAACTACTGCACACCTGACGCAAGAAACAACCTGACGCACAGAGAGTCAATATTCCTCTCAATGAATTAAACGCTTTCTTCTCTTCCTTTGGTCAAAGCATCAATCAACAACAAGTTGAAAGTTATATAACGGAGTTAAGAAACTCCCCTGTACAAGAATTAGGATACCCCAAGTTCACTTTCAAACCTGTACTGCAGTCTGATGTTCTGAAATCTATTCGACGTATTCGCAGTAATGCTATTGGATCTGATGGCATTCCAATTCGCTTCATTAAGGACATTCTCTTTGCTATACTCCCCACTATCACCTGCATTTTCAACACATCTCTAAGGCAAAGCATATTCCCGATTTCTTGGAAGTCTGCCCTAATTCGTCCCTTAAATAAGATTCCAGCACCTGCTTCTTGCCAGGATTTCAGGCCGATCAGTATATTGCCCGCATTATCTAAAAGCCTTGAAAGAATCGTGCACTGCCAGATCACTGAGTTTCTGACTGAAAACAATATCTTATGCAACTCACAGTCTGGCTTTCGAGCAGCTCACAGTACAGAAACAGCACTCTTACGTGTGACGGACGACATTAGACTAGCAATGGAACATCGGCAGGGTACGATTCTTACCCCATTCGATTTTTCTAAAGCCTTTGACTGTGTAAATCATAAGCTCCTTTTGGAAAAGCTAAGGGTCATAGGGTTTTCAAATGGTGTATTGGACTGGCTGGGATCCTATCTGTCAGACAGGCGGCAGTGTGTTGAGGTTGATGACTTACGATCTGACTGGGAGACAGTTACTAGTGGTGTACCTCAGGGGTCCATCCTTGGTCCTCTGTTGTTCGTACTATACATAAATGACTTGAGCTCAGTCCTCACACACTGTAAATACCACATGTATGCTGACGACTTACAGATTTATACACATTTTTCACCCAATCAGATCAACGAAAGTGTTCTGAGAGTGAACGAAGATATTGAGAAAATCATTACTTGGACTAATAAACACGGACTCAGACTTAACCACGAAAAAACTAAACCGATCATAATTTGTCATCCACGTTTACGGAACTCTATTGACTTTCTGACGACGAATCCAATAACTATAAATGGAACAGATTTGCTTTACAATGACAAGGTCAAAAACTTAGGGCTTACTATCAACTCGACACTTACTTGGGGCGATGCGGTAGTAGACATCCGTAAAAAGGTGTTTGCATCAATCCACTCACTTAAAAAGTTACAGAATTTCTTGCCTTTGTACATAAAGTTACACCTGGTTAAATCACTTGTTTTTCCCCACTTCACTTACTGCAGCTCTGTGATCAATGACATGTCTGTAAACCTCGCTGATGCTCTCCAACGCGTTCAGAACTACTGCCTAAGATTCATTTATGATCTAAGACGCAGTGAGCGCATCACACCTTTCTACATTCATTCTAAGTTATTAAAGCTATGTGACCTGAGATCAATCAAAATTCTTTCGCTAACCTATTCGATATTAAAAAACAATTTTCCAAAATATTTTGTAGATGATTTTAGGTTTGTAGCTGAAGAAAGTGTCAGATACTCACGCCATGCATCATTAACTTTGCGTATGCCTCACCATAGGACCGCAGTTTACGACAGAGCCTTTATTGTAACTGCTTGCCGTCTTTGGAACGATCTCCCTTTAGCTATTAAATCCCTCGATAGTCGTTCCCGGTTTGTGGCAGCACTAAAAAATCTCTATTTTGAACGTATGGCCATGAGTAGGTTTGTCGTAGGGGCCTGTGCGCATTGCGGTCGCTGACTTGTATGGGTGTGTGTGTGAGTGTGTGTGTGTAAGTATTTTTAAAATTTACTGATTTTTGATAAAAGTTTCTGTATCTATGATTTCTGTTTTGTTTTATTGTATAAGCTGATTATGTTAAAATATTTATATTATGTTTTAAAGTACAGGTTAAGTGTAAGAAAGGGCCATGTGGCCCTAACTTTGCCTGTATAAATAAATGATTTTTCATTTCATTTCATTTCATTTCACACCAAAAAAACCAAATTTCTATCAAATCTGGGTTGCTATTGGATTTTAGAAAATAGATTTATTTAGAAATGTTTGATGTACGATGTATGGTATGTTTTCATAAGTGATGGTCTTTATATTGTAGACCTTTTGTGTCCATCTTTATGATATTTAAAACATCAATTAAAGTGTTAAGTTATCTGTGCCATTTAAAAAGTGTAAGCAAATTTTCAGGCCAACAATCAAGAAGAGTCTACAAAGCAGTCGATGAAATTCCTTCAATTGGATTTGATCATGATGAAAATAAATACAAACGAAAATCATTTCTGGATTGGTTCAAGAGGTGGTTAAAGTAAGTATACTTCATTATATAAGTGTACAGACGTTTTTTGTTGATCTATATATATAAAGCTCAAATACCACTGACTCATTCATTCACTCACTCACTCACTCATCACGAAATCTCAGAAACCGTAAGACCTAGGAACCTGAAACTTGGCAGGCATCTTCCTTTTGGGTAGTAGACGCTCACTAAGAAAGGATTTTACCCTCCGACCTCTGGGCTCCGCCCCAGTGGCTCTGGAGTTTCCCATGTTAACCTTATGAGAAATGGAATTAATGAATCTTAACAGCTGTTTCAATTAAACAAGTTGGTTCTGTTCTATGATGTTCAATAGCATTAAAGTTACAAGGATTACCAACAGGGTGCAGCACTATTATTTTTTAAATTTATGACAACAGGTAATTTGCAACCAAAAGGTGAGTGAGCGTAGCGAACGAGCTAACCAGAAGGCAAGTGAGCGCAGCGAACGAGCTCCAACCTAAAGGTGAGTGAGCGTAGCGAACGAACTTCAACCAGGACGTGATTGAGCCATGCGAACGAGATCATCTTGAAAATTAAGAAGTTCAATGGGTTACAGCTTACAAAGCCCGCGGGTTACAGCTAGTATTCTATAAAATCCTTTCCATCCTGAATGCCAGCATACCTGTCAAACAAGGTGAGTTTAGCCCTAGACGCAGTGCTCGATTTGTAAAAAAATTAGGTAGCGGAACTGTAAACTATTCTATGATTCGGGAGTGCCCAGCCACCACCCCATGGGCAATGGCGCATGTACCCCCAAACCAAGCCTAATGCCCCCCCCCCCCCCAAAGCATGACATCTACATTCCACCCTTTAATTTATAACATTAGTCAATATATAAAAATCTGAATCCGAACCCATTATTCTTTTTTCCATTTTACATGGAAATAACACTAGACAATATTTAAAAAGAAGACTGCTATATGACGATTTTCGTTATATATCTTTGCCAGGGCCGCAGCTACACATTTTTCTAGCGGGGGCAAGTCTTAAATTTGCCGCCCCTTCACCACACAGCCGTAGATTTTTTTTTCTAAGAGACAATGGCATTTTACAACTTTAGTCTTAACACGAGGCACACAAACTTTTTTTAAAAAAATGGCACAGATTTGTTATTATACTTTTCTAGCCTATTACGTTATTAAAAATATAGTACTTTTTTTAATGCAGCAGCAACTCGAGGTATCATAGTGGCACGCTCCCTGTCCGCTACTGTAAAGTTGCTATTGGGTATATAGTAGTGAGGTAGGGTAAGGAACAACTTACATTTATGTTACGTTGTGGTTGTTCCAGCAGTACCAGCAGCAACAACAGGAGGTATCATAGTGGCACGCTCCCTGTCCGCTACTGTAAAGTTGCTATTGGGTTAATAGTAGTTGTCTGTGTCATCATTGTATTTATTCGTCTCGGACGCATCACTGCAGCTGATGATCCTGCTCTTGACTTGTTAAATAACCCAAATGTTCGGGTTAGTGAATAATGTATTGTAGCTTTTTTATAATAATTATAGTTATAGGTTATCATATTTGTCTATGCACCTATCTTTAGCTCCAAGCCACAAAATTTAAACAATGATATCTGACATAGTAGATTTTTTTTTTTTACTTTGAAATAAAAACGGCATTGGTCTTTACTATAGTTTCCTTTTGATTTAAGGATTTGTTGTAATGTTTCTAATAATGCATCAAAACATCCTCAATACTTTTATTATTTTATTTGTTTACTTACATTGAAAAAAAAATATCTTTTAAAATATGTAATAGGTTGGTTTTGCATTAACAAATTATTTTTTAGGTCTTAACATTCAAACAGTGTTTTTTTCTTCGTCCAAACGAGTTGACCTCTGTTGAAACTACCATGGAAATGAATGAAGAAATAATTTCAAAAACATTTTAACCCTTAAACGCGCACGGGGGTATGACATACCTCCACGTGCATGCTTGTGTTACGAGTACTGAGTTCATTTGGGGGGTCTAGTGTACCCCCATGCACGTAGTAGTGTCTCAGTTTTATTATCATTAAGTAACTTATCATTATATTTAACTTCATTAGTATTATATAACTTTATTTATAATTTTGATAGTATTGAAAGTTTGCCAAAAACAGTGGCGGCGATAGCGGGTCCGCGGTGCGGGGGGGCCCACGAGCTAGGGGCGGCCCGTGAGCCTTGACCAGGATTTTTGGTAAATTTTACCGGCACACGGGCCTGGGCCGGCGATAGTGTGACAGGCTCAGCCACACGGGTCCCCTATCATAACAATATTTATATGAGAATTAAAATATGTTTTTTATTGTTCAAACCTATAGCTCAAGTAGTTTACAATAGCTAAACTAACACTATTACTTGACCGATTGATATAAATTATCTAACAAACCTAAGTAAAAGAATTGTCATCAGTCATGCGGGTTGCATTAACAGTCCTCGTGGATTGTGTGAAGGCGCAGTCAAAATTTGTTACATAATAATAGGGCCGTATTTATAACCAATGTGGTCTCTTGCCTAGGAAGATAAAACATTAATGTTAATCCTCCTAGCCCCCAGCGGGTGACACCATAGAGGATCCTCTATGCTGATTCGACTAAATAAACTTGACAATTTTGTTACGACCAAATCGGCAAATTAACCTAGGTGGCTAGGGCACTAGCTAATAAATAATTCCATTCTTTCATTGATGCTAAAGAAAGATTTTCATTTCATTGCATGTCTTACTTTTAGGAGGTTGCCCTTTAGATTTGTTTACTTCGCGTTTAGATGTGTTTACATCGAGTCAGGTAAAAAATTTTACTTACCTAAGGGCCTCAGGCCAAATCAGATCGGTTTAAAATCGGGTTGCTTTGGAAACGGTTGATTTTTATAATAGGCCTATAATGTCGATTTTCGAGCCGAGCAGAGCCTGGACTACAAGCTTGAGAGATCAAGCACAAAGTCAGAAAATCAAGCTCGAGCCGATTTTCTCAGTACCACAATAATGCACAATTAAAAGTAAAAGCTTTTATATCCGTGAGGATCACGCTTATGAAATTGAAAGATTAGGCCTACGCTTTTGCTGCGATCGCGGATATCGAAGGGAACATTTCCCCGCGGATGACGATGTCTCCGCGGCCGCAGATGTTCAATATTTTGCCGCGATTGCGGAAGACGATAATGACGTTTCTTTTTTAGCGAGAGATATATCTAGGATTTAGCCGCGATTACGGAAAAATGATTTACCCGTCACCACCGACGGGTCGCGGGGAGATATTAGATTGGGCCGTGAACGCGGGAGACGATGCTGCTGCTATCTAATGATATCATAGGTTTGGTTGCATTTGCAATCACGGTAAACTATGATAATGTTTCTTCCATGACTTATGACTACGGGAAGTATTTACGGTTTTGCCGCGATCATGGAAGACGATAATGACGCCTCGGGAGATGCCTTGTCAAGTTTATTGCAAAATTGCAAGTTTAGGCGGTAATACATGGGAAAATGTTTTTAAAGATCATTAGGAGAGGGGGGCCCGGCGAACAAACTTGCGGGGGGGCCCGCGGGTTCTTATTGCCACCACTGGCCAAAAATCTTAGTATCTGTAAACCAATTGGGTAGAAATGTCAACCATAGAGTCCACTGATCTAGCCTCCTAGTAAAAAGGTGCAATGCACCGTCTGCCTTGGTAAAAAAGACGCCAAGACCAAATTTAAGTGTAAAACCTAATGTGCCAGGGACAAATGTAAAATATTTGTGAAGTGTGTTTAAAAGGACTTCTGGGTACTTTCCTGTTAAAGGGAACATTCATTATTATCGATGATTTTTTTCTCGATATATCGATATTAACTAATTGAAACCTATCAGCTGACAACTACGATAAATAAATATTAATCATTATCAACAAACAATAATTTTAAAAGAATATTGAAATGAAACTGTTCTAAACTAACCCAACAAAACCAACCAAACTTGATGTAACATTTAAAAATCCGTTTAATATTCTCCACTTCCCTTTTCTGTTATCAAACAGAATTTATAAATTTAAAAAGAGTAGGTACAGCAAGTTTGGTTGGTTATGTTAGGATAGCTTAGAACAGTTTCATTTCTTAATCCATATAATAGACTATATTTTAGCCTAAACAAGATCAGTTGTCAATTTTTAATGGATTGTAAAGAAAAACAAAACTATCGATATATCGAGAGAGAAAATCATCGATAATAATGAATGTTCCCTTTAACAGGAAAGTACCGACTTCTAAAACAACCATTGGACGAGGATTTTTAAAGAAAAAAACATTATCAAAGAAAGTGTTTAATTTATTTTATTTTTTGTTCAGTATTTTCTACAAACCGGGAAATGTATTAATTCATGAAATATTTACTGCTTACATGGTTTTTTTAAGAGTATTATACTTTTTTAAGTAAAAATAATATTTGTTTGCAATGAAAACTTGTTTAGCTACGATTTTCCCCTCTTCGACAACAATATTTCATTTCATCATGAAAAAATTAAGGATTAAAACTATTATTTTCAAAATAGTTCAAGGATATGGTAGGATCATAAAATTTAAGTAATAATATGAGAAAATGAATATAGATATTATGTCTAAAGTTTAAAGAGCTTAATATCGCAAACTTCTTTAATATACCCCTTTTTAGCTCTAGCGTAAAAAAACGAGCGTGTGCGCTTAAGGGTTAAATCGTCATGATAATATCATTGGTATTATATCAGTATGTACTTTTGTTTCTACTTTGCTAGGTAAAAACCATTAGTTAAGATGGTAAACCACAAATATTGATTACAAATAATGCATTTTCTTTTAATGTAAATATTGTAAATATATACCCAACCTCACGTTTACATAATCATGATATTAATTGCATCATTTCCCAGTAGTCGCAATAATATTATTTAGCTGCTGCAGTGGAACAGACGGTATTTCATCATAATAAATAATTAGTTTTAAGAAACAAAACATTAAATGGTACGTTCGTAACGTTAAAGGTATAATTTTTTTTTTTGTAATGGCAATGTTTTTATCACATAAAGAGTAATAAGTGAATTTCACTTAATCAAGATTATATGTAATAGGAAGAGGAATTGTAATACTTATATTATCTTAATTTCTAACTTATCTTAAGGTATAACTTTCATAATCTTATATTATCCAAAGAATAAAAATAATTTTCAATCAGCTTTATTATGTTTAATTAGATACCGTAAAATGGGGTGAATAGAAACAACAGGGTGAATAAGCTATTTAAGCAGTAATGAGTTTCTCCATGGCTTGTACATATGAAATATAATTACCATCATTTAAATTTTCTATTAATATATCTTACCATTGAGCTCTAATAGACAACAACTATTTACTCTTTTTTTTACTGAATTAGATTCACAAAACGTATTTACTAGGTTGAACAAATATACCAACAATGGTGGTAACAATACATAGAATACATGAATATATTTTGTCATTTAGTTAACGCAAGTTGAAATAAATACTGTTTTGAGACATTATATTTAATCAGTTAGGTTAAAAAAAAAATCCTTGTAAGTTCCACTGCAGATTTATACAGTAATTTTGTAACATGTGCTTCAAATTTACAGTTAATTGAAGTAAACTATTATAATACTATTTTCAATAAAATCCATTTCAAAACACTAAAATAGTGCTGTCTTATTTTACTTTTGAGCCTTAAAAGTTTTCTAGTAATAATTTATTTTTGTTTCTGTGGCCCCTACGAAAAATATCTTTTTAAAGTTGTTTCTTAAATCTGGTTTCATTTTACTTATTGGTTAGCACACAGCAAAGTAATAAAGTACAACAGAAACATTAATTGTATTTCCATAAGGACACAGATGTTGTTACTGCATCTCCTTCATTGCCACTTTTTGTATCTGGTGACATGTGTGTTTGTGCTATTTCTCTATGGTCTGTTTACAGTAGTGACCGGATACTCCTAAAATGTATAGTAGCAGGATCTAGTTAATCCAATCTCATGTAAAATGTGATTTCAGCGAATTTCCCATATAGGGAATAAGGTATTACCGTAGGTCTTATGGTAAGACATAGACCCGGGACCTATTTACTTTTTCGTTTTGAGGTCCCTAGAGCCCGAAAATACCCTCCGTTCAAATTCATATATATATATATATATATATATATTATATATACCTTACTTTACCTTTTTTAATACTTTTACCTCCTTGGCCATTGCAACTTCAGAAGGTTTTTGGCCCCGCCAATGATGCATCTCCACTCTTCTCTATTCTCCGCTGCCTCAGGAGTAGGCCTAGTGCCCAACAGCCACATCCTCCTCCATTGCAGCCTCGGCATGCCGAGTGGTCTTCTGCCTTCTGGTTTCAATCAATCAATCAATCAAAATAACTTTATTCATATTGCACATTTTGTACAGAATGGAGTCAGTTATAAAACCACAATATTAAACTTAAGACTACTTACAAAGAACATTGTTATTATAAAAAAAAATCAAATTTCAGGAAGTTGGAAAAAATCTTCTAATTTATACAAGGGTCTGTTGGTGAGAAATAATTTCAAACGTTTTTTAAATTAATTAAAATTACTTATATTTTTTATATTGTCAGGTAAGCTATTGAAATATTTAACACCACTATAAGATGGAATTTTTTCATAAACCG